TTTAGTGGGTGTCAATTTTTAAAATTTTTTCAAAATTTTAAACGAAATTATGAAGGGGAATATATGTATAACCAACAAACAAGGCTGTTGATTATTGTAATATCCCAAAATTTGGGGATATTTTAGCATTAAGTAAGGGACTTATTTGAGGAAAAATATTGTTTTGGGGCTTAATCGTAAAATTTTCAAAAGTCGGGGGACTAAAAAGAAAGGAAATTAGGATAAGGATGGCTGAGTTTTTCTTTCTTTTTTCTTCTTCCTTATCCGCGTGCTTGCTCTGTTCTTCCCGACTCCCTGCCGACAAGCCCCCCAAGCCACCGACTCTCTTCCTCCTTGAAAACCCGGTGAGATCTTGATGAATTTTCTCCTTCTTTCTTGTTCAATCACAAGATTTGGGGCTTAGAATCTTCCCTCTCAACCCAGAATATCCCGGTTCGGCTCTGCTCTTCCTCCCTTGTCTGTCGGCTTTGTTGGGTGTGAATTTCTTGGCTTTTTCGGGTAAGCCACAGCCATGAACTTCATCTTTTCAACTTGATTTAGGTTGGGTTTACTTTAATTGCTTTTGTTTCCTGCCAATTGCTGGTAGTCCGTGAGCCCCCCCCTGCAGATGCCGTCGGCTTCCTTCCCAGCCGGAACCGGCCTTTGCTTGCCGGAAATTCTGGTAAGTTGCCGGCTCTTCCAAGTTTGAATTACCCATTTAATTGCTGGGTTTTGTCCATTAGTTGATGCTCTGTGTTGTCCGAATCTGCTGGGATAGGGGATGAATTTGGCAGCCCTTTTAAATGCGTTTTTGTGCTTGGTTTATGTAGAATTTAGCTTGATTTGGTTGCCATGATTTCTAGAGAGAAATCCCGTGTGTGAGTGTGGTTTTTGCCAAGCCATTTTCTCCATTTTTCTATTCCGGGAGTTGGTAGCTTTAAGTGGGTTTTGTTTAATTTAAGTGTAAATTAGCTTGAATTGGATTATTGTGATGTTCTGTATGCATAGTCGGGCCTTAGTGCTGTTTTGCCAAGCTCGGTTCCTCCATTTTGTTCGTTGGAAGTTTCCTGTTGAAATGGAGGAGTTTTGGCAGCCTTAAAACATGGGTTTTAAGCTTGCTTAATGTAGAAAATTAGCTTATCATGACTGTTGTGAGATTTTGGAGAGAAACCCCGTGAATTAGCTGTGTTTTGCCAATCTTGGGGGTTGAAGTTACTGTTCACGAGGTACTGTTCACGGGGTACTGTTCACGGTTACTGTTCACACACCGAGGGTTAACCATTAACGAGGATTCAAATGATTAGTTTTTAATATAAGGATAAATTTGGAGATGTCCAGTTATGTGGACATTGATAGGAATCGCACCGTGATTAGGGGTAGTGCTAAAGATGATTTTACTTTGAATTTGTGGTAGTGCGGTATTAACTGTGGAATATTGTGATTAGATTTTGATCGTTCTGTCACCGTAGCACTTGGGTTAGCCTTCTGTTCTGTGCGAGTGAGGTAAGTAAATTATGATAAAACCCTTCGATTTCAAAGCATGTTTTAAATTGTTTTTGAGATGGTGGTAAGGTTTAAATTGATTTTAAATTGATTTATCAACATCTGAATATGATTAAACTGAAATGGAAATCGTGATGATTTTTATGAAAATTATTGTTTTCTGGAATTGAGCATGATTGGAATGAAAAAGTGAGAATTTCATTGTTTTTCTGGAGTTATTGCACCGAGCATGATTGGTTTGAAATGAAATTGTTTTCATTTGTATTGAGTGGAGCATGCCTATTTGAAATTGAATGAACTGTTTTGATGAACTGAGAGTTTTGTAAATTCGGAGTTTTTCTGTTAAATCTATGCTCACATGGAAATTTTTTGGTTTATTTCTGAAATGGGAGATTGATTGTGAATGACGGATTTTTCTGTAAATCCTGCATGGTTTTGTCTCGGATATAGTCATGATTACTGACGCTCGCTAGTGGGAGCTGCAAACGCTAGCACATGTCGACATGTATTTCTGTAGAACCGATTCACCCTGCCAATGGGGTTAAACATTGGTCATTACTGACGCCTGCTAGTGGGAGTTGTTAAATACTGGTACCATTACTGACGCCTGCCAGTGGGAGTTTGTAAACACTGGTACCATTACTGACGCCTGCTAGTGGGAGTTTGTTAAACATTGGTACTTCTAAAACCTTGCCAATGGAGTTAAACATTGGTTATTATTGACGCCTGCCAGTGGGAGTTTGTTAAACACTGGCCATGACTTATAGATGAGACTACTGATGAGTTTTATTCTGCATGAACGGTTTGTCATGAAACACTTTGTTATTGAACCGAATTGGATTTTGCATTAACGGTTTTGTCACTGAATGTTTTGCTATTGAACTGAATCTGATTTTGTTTTAACGAGTTATCATTGAAAGCTTTGTTATGTTTACATGGTTTATCTAGCATGCTTAAATTTTTACCAAGGGCTATCCATATTTACTTACTGAGATATTTTATCTCATAGTTTTCCTTGTCCACCATTTCAGGAAGCAAAACCGTGAACGGGGAAACCAAGGGGAGTGACGAGATAGAAGGCTAGCCATTTTGTAAAGTGAATAGAGATTTGAGATATAGATCATAATCTTGTAAACTAAAGTTTAATTGGAGATTTTATACATTCATTTAATGGATTGTTAGTTACAATGGATTTGACCTTGAGATTTGGAGTTTAAGTCATGTTGGATGTAGAATTATTTTGAGATGATTGATTTGAGTTATTGGACTGTCAAGTGTGATTTGGATAAGTTCCGAGCCTTGTGCATTTGTGGGATCTTCTCACGAGTGCACAGCGTCTGTCGGTGTGTGACAATTATACTTTGGCAATAATTTAAAATTTTTCATTATTTGATTAGTGAAATTATGAAAAGGAATATATGTATAACTAAAAAAAGGGTTGTCTGTTATATTTCGGTGATATTTAAAAATTTTTGTCATTCAAATCCGTGAAATTGTGGAGGGGAATTTAAGTATAATTGACAACTCTAAGTGTCGATTAAACTAATATAATTGACAACTAAGCCAACAATTATACTTAACTAAACTATTGATTATACTAGGTATAATAAATAAAGCCAAGGGTTATATTAAACCTAAACCCTAAACTTAATATACAACCCCTAAACTTAATCAAACCTTTAAATCAGCAATTTTTAAAACTCTAAAACCTAAACCGCAAACACAAAACATTAATCTCTCATACATATAAACTAAACACACATATTAAACCAACTCTAAGCTTCTATTCCTTAAACCTTCAAACCTTAAACCAAAAACACACACATATTATACCAACCCTGACACCTATAATACTTAACAAACCCTAAACTTGAATCCTTAAATCTTAAATGAAAATCTTAATTCAATAACTAATTAAACCCTAAAACCCTCAACTTTAGTATAATCAACAACTAAAATCCTTGGTTATTCTTAATCAACAAAATAATTTTTTATTATACTAGTATGACAAATAACCAAACTCATAGGTTATTTTAAACCTAAATCCTAAATCATAATACATAACCCTTAAATTTAATTGAAGCTTGAAACCCATTAATTTCTTAAAGTCTAAAACCTCACCTCAACATCAAACGCTTAAGCTTCCATACACAAACACTAAACACACAAATTAAACCAACTCTAAGCTTCCATTCCTTAAACCTTCATGTATAACTTAAACCAACAACACAAATATCAAACTAACCCTAACACCTATAACACTTAACAAACTAAAAACTTGAATCCTTGAACCTTTAAAGTGAAAATCTTAATTTTATAGCTAATTAAAACCCCAAAAACTCTAAACTTTAGTATAATTGATGGCCCTAATTGTTTATTATACTAGCTAGTTTAATTGACAAACAAGTCATGGTTTATATTTAATTAATAGAATAGTTGTTGATTGTATATATAAATATAATTTTTTCACTTGTATATTATTAAAATATTATTATAAAACCAATAATCTACAAATGTCACTCATAACTATTTTTCATTAATTTTTTTTAAAAATCTATCAATCCAATCAACAAATTATGAAGTTATCAATTATGTTGAATAAACATAACTGGCAACTGTTTTGTTGGTCAGTTATAAATAGAATAACCAACAAGTTTTCAGTTATATGATTCCTAAGATTTGTTGTCCAACCCTCTCTTATAATTGACTATTTTCTATAATCAACAAAATTCTTGTCGGTTATAGTTTTATGACCAACAAAATTGTAGGTTGTTAGTTGTGGTGTTGTTGGTATTTCTGTATGTTAAACAAAAGTAAAAGCCTAAAAGGGGTTGTGGCCATGTAGTTGAGCACTAACCAAAATCAGTCACAGACAAAGTAAAAAAAGTGTTCCTACCCTTCTCCTCCATCGATTCTACATACCAATGCTTTAGTGATTGTACTTTGTTAAGTGATGCACTAAAATCACTCTAGTAAGTGTATTGGCTGCATCAAGTAATATAATGATGAGAAGAGTGTTGAGTCCACAAGAATTGTGATTAATTAAGTACAAAAAATAATTAATTTGAATTTATTTGAACAATTGAAAAGAAGAAACTTTAATTAAAAATAATAAAAATAATAACAATTAAAATAAAAGTATCCAATATATGAGGTATTAAGGCATCGACTTTACCATAATCAATCAATATAAATTATGGATTAATATGCTTTCAAAACCAATTTGTTAAGTTTTATTGCATGTGATGGCAAACTCCCCTAAATTAATTAACTAACTTTCTCAAGTTAAGTTAATTATTCATCTGTTTGTTAAATTAGTCATATTTTCATATAATTTAAAACAA